AGACAGAGACAGATAGAGACAGAGACGAAAGAAGGAAAGAAATTGCCTGGCCAGGCACGGTAGTGCACTAATCCCAGCATCAGGGAAGCTGAGGCAAGAGGATCTCTGTGAGTCTAAGGTCAGCCTCGGCTACCTAGTGAGACCCTGTCTCAACATGCCAATAAGCGAATGAAAGAATTGAAAAGGCCCAACAGTGCTCAGGGTGCGAGGTTGTGGACGCAGACTCAGAATTGCTGGTGGTACCAGAAGCTCAGAGCACTGAGTGATTCCCTTGGAGACCTCAGGGATTAGGGCTGGGGCACCCTGACTGCAGACGAGGATGCAGGTTTCTGCACACAGTCGCCACTCCACGGTGCCACACACACACACACACACACACACACACGGCTCACGCGCTGTCCCCTCTTCCTCCCTCTCCCGCCTGCTCCCGCAGATGCCCAACACGGGCAGGATCGGCGAGGTGCTCCTGTGCACCTGCACCTTCAAGAACTCCCTGATGATCCCGCTGACCCACGTCAGGTTCTCTGTGGAGAGCTTGGGTCTCTCCTCCCTGCAGAGCATCGAGCAGGGGTGAGTTTGTGGTGCTCGCTGGGTGGGGGCGTGCCGGGACCAGGGCGGCCCGCAGGAGGCCCATTCCAGTCACTGAGGGCTCAGCCATCTCGCGCTGTGACTGCGTCTCTGCTCAGTGGACTGTCTTGCTGGTCAGTGGCTGGACGGACTGTCCCCAGCACACCGCTGCTTGCATCCTGCCATCTGTTTCCTCCTGAGTCATGCTTGTCTTTTCACATTAATTTGGTACAGTGTTAAATTATCCCTGAAAAATTGTTCATCACAGGCTCAACCCTTTTATGCCATTCTGGGGACTGAATCCGGGAGCTTGTGGGGCAGAAAGCACTCTACCACTGAGCCCCACGCCAGCCTCTCCTCCCTCCCTCCCTCCCTCCCTCAACACTCACCATTAGAACTTTGGACAACGTAGCTACATTACAATTTTAACCTATTCCTTTACTGACACCGAGTCTCCCATCGCCCCACGAATACAGATGTACTCTCCCATGCTCTCGCCAGAATTTCTGGCTGAAGTACCACTGAATGGGTTGTGGAGCAATGCAGAGCTTCACCTTTGCCAAATGATCTGTCCTAGCCATGGCCTGGGGGTGCACACCTGTCATCCTAGCACTCTGCAGACCGAGGCAGGAGGATAGCTGTGAACTCCAGGCCAGCTTGGACCATGTAGTGAGTTCAAGGCCAGCCTGAACTGAAAAGTAAAGAAAAACAAATCAGACCTTGCCACTTCCGGAGTGCGGGACACAGTCCCTCCAGTACAGTCAGCAGCCCGGATCTTGAGCGCTCTGGGCTCTGTGTGCTCTCCATCCCTTCATATTGCAAACCCAGGGCATCAGGTTGCGGTGAAGTCCCCGTACCTGTCGTCCAAGGAACTTGCAAGTTCCCACGTATCCTTTGAAAACTGCCAGGATGCAAACTGGTATTGCAGCCGGCTCTCTGGTGTCTCGGGGGAAGGCCTGGAGCCTTTCGGAGCCCGACAGCACACGGCTGCTGGAGCTGCTTCCCACAGATTCAGCTGTATGTTATAAACGCTTTGGTTTCCGGTGTGCAACTCTTGCATTCCTGGTTCGATTCCTTCCCAGATGTGCTGAGCTTGCTGCTTTTGTGGCTAGGACATTTCTCCTCTGTTGTCTGTTTGCTGGGCTGTGTACGAGCTAGTGCTTTGGGTACCCTGATAAAACCGTGAAAAGGACGTTACTGAACTCAGATGGTTTGCGACAATTCATTTTTATACTTGTTTTACTTTGTGTTTTGAGACACAGTCTTGCTAAGTGGCCCAGGCTGGCCTTGAACTCATGGCAGTCCTGCTGCCTCAGCCTCCCAAGTGCCGAGAACACAGGCACGCGTAGCACACTCGGCTGATTCTGGGTCAGGCCTGGGTCTAGGTCCCTGGGCCACCCTTTGGCCAGGGCTAGGCGGCCGGTCTGCTCACCTTGCCTTGGGGCCAGGGGGCCAGGGCCACCGAAGCCAGTGCTAGGGCCTGGACTCATCTTTCTCTCCTGGTGTCCGTGGCTAACTCCACATCTCTGTTGGAACTTTGTAGGACAGTGCCGCCTGGCAAGACCATCCAATCCCAAATAAGGTGCACGCCGGTGAGGGCGGGGCCCAGGAAGTTCATCATCAAGCTGAACTCCCAGCAGGTGAAAGAGATTCACGCGGAGAAGGTGGTGCTCATCACCCAGTAGCTCTGCCTATTACGCGCCAGGCAGGAGCCCCGGGCTTTGGGACCCCGCTTCCAGCGCCTCCTACGCAGCCTTACGCATAGATTGCGCATGCTCAGCTTTGACCACTCACGCACGCATGCACGCACGCATGCACGCACGCATGCACGCACGCATGCACGCACGCATGCACGCACGCATGCACGCACGCATGCACGCACGCATGCACGCACGCACGCACGCATGCACACACGCACGCATGCACACACGCACGCACACAGGACAGAGTCAGGAGCCAGGGGCACAAGAGAGTTTGAAGGCAGCCGCGCTGCTTGGCTGGAGCTCCCAGCCTCTCGGGCTGTGGCTTCCAAAAGCAGCGCGGGTGCCATGAGATCAGGAAGCCAGGGGCCCACGGCTGCAGGCAGAGCGGCCACACCGGGCCTGGGATGGCATCTCCTGGTGCCCTGGGTTTGCCTGCACAGGATCCCCCTGGATTTCCATGGCCTGTGGGTGGCCCTGCAGGGAGCTGCCCAGGGACACCCAGGTAGAAGTCTCAGAAGGTCTGGCTCAGGTGCAGCCCCGCCCCTCTGCCCGCCACCTAGAAGCCGCTTCTCTCCTGCTCCATCCGCTCCCAAGCTGCTCGTGATGATTGGGATGCCTTCAATTAAACTTACTGCTTCTGGCTGGACCTAGTCACTGTCCTTCACGCCACTGAGCTGCAGGGTGTCCCTGGGGCTGTGTCCTTGAACCCCCCCAGGTCTCCCACCCTGCGGGCTGTGTCCTGGGCAGGGCTGCATGGTGCAGAGTCAGGTTGTTCCGCGTCAGGCCAGTGTGTGGGGGTCAGCAGGGGCTGTCCCTGTGGGGGTTGCACATGGCACCACCACGGTGCAGCATCTGGGTGCCAAGAGGCAAAACCACACAGCTGTGGTGGGGGTCACATGACACCTGTGCACCAGAACATAGCACGGCAAAGTAGCCTCTCTGAAGCCCCCAAGGTGACCCATGAGGAAGGCACTTCCCCCAGGACCACAAGGCCGAGAGATCTGTTTATTCAGGAGAGAGGCCAGGCTCAGACCCACAGAGACTGCCTGGTGCTGATGCTCCAGGGAAAGTTCTGTGGCAGCTGCCACCATGGAGAGACGGTCACCACCATGTGTCCCCAGAGTGGGAGCACAGGCTCAGTTTAGACAGGTGACTCCCTCATGACCTAGGGGAGGGAGAGGCAGGCGTCATCCTCCCTGCCTTTCTTTCCAGTAACTGGAAACACAGGCAGCCCTGGCTGCCACCAACCTGTATAGAGGGCTTTCCCAAGGCCCCAGGGTTGTATGCACACCTCCTACTCGAGGTGACTTCAGTGACAATGACCATGATCCCTCCTTCCTGTGGGGACCAGGCCTGCTTCATCCCGTGTGAAGCCTTTTTAGTACACAGCTGGCCTAGGGCTGTTCAGAGTGCAGACCACAGAGGCCTCACAGCCAGCACCCGGTGAGCTGGTCTGGGTGTCTCCTCACCCCTCCCACGTGCCACACTCAGGCCGCTCTGCTTGCTGCTGCTAGGCCCAGCCACCACCCTATTGCAGGCTAGGCAGGAGCGCTCTGGGTGAGGGTTAGGAGGGGGTGGCCCTTGTCCCTGGAGGAGGTAACCACAAGGTCTGGGGGTCAGCCTGGGGACTGTGCTGGGACAAGTTGCTGTCACCAGAGAGCATCTGAGATGCCTGAGGTGAGGCCACTGCTCCAGACAGTAGCTGACCCTTTCTCCTGATGTCTGGAGAGGCCTAGACATGGAGGCTGGCAGGGCAGGCCTCCTCCAGGGCTGCTGCAGCCATTGCTGGGGACACAGCTAGAGGGACACAGGCCAGACGAAAGATGTTGGACCAGAAGCATGTTTCACACAGCAGCTACACAGAGGGGGCTTTAGCGGCTGTGGCAGTGAGCTCAGGGGCACAGGACACCCCGACACCCCTGTCCCATGCAGGCTGAGCTTTCCAGGCGGTGGTGGGGGTCCTGTCCCTGGGTCTAACTGTCTGCAGGGTGGGGCCGTTAGCTCTTCTTCATGGGACAGATGCACTCTCGGAGAACAGGCTGACCTGCAGGGGGTCCTGCTCAGCTGGCCACGTGTCCCTGCACCCCTCAGGAGGACATTCTCGTCCCATCATGAGTGGGTCTCCCTGGTGCTCCTTTGGGCAGCTCCAGGCTCCCTCAGGGAGGACCCCAGAGTTCTGGGCTGGGCATGACCTTGGGTCTAGCACTACTAGCCCTGTACATTCTCCATCCTGGAGGGTGCTCCCTGTGCATACATGATTGTTTGTGTGACTGGGGGAGTGTGTATGTCGGGGGTCCTCTCCCCTGGAGGGAGTTATGGTGGCCATGTCTTCCTTCACCAAGACAGGCAGTGGGCCAAGGTCTGCTGTCCTGATGCTCTGAGTGCTGCATGAACTTAGAGAAGCCCAGTGTCATCCGCTGCCCTGTCCCCCAGCCCAGGGACAGGCAGGCAGGAGGGCCCAGGGCAGAGGGACGGGCTGGGCGGGGCACCACAGCCACACGCAGGCCCAGCTGGCAGCGGCCCTTAGTGCACAGTCACAAGGGCAGCTAATCATCTATCTCCTCCACGTCCACGTTCTTGGCCTCCGATGGCTCCTCTGTGCTCTCGGTGTTTTCTACGTCGATGTCGGAGTGGGATGCCTGCCGTACCAAGTCCTTGTCAGGGGGGATCTCCGGCTGTCCCGAGAAGGGGTTGCACCAGCTGAGGGAAAAGTCCCCGCCGAAGGTGTCCTTTGCCAGCTGCCAGTGGCACACCTGCTGCCGGGGCTGGTCCTTGCGCTGCAAGCGCTCGATGCCCTGGGGAGAATGGAGGCCACGTCAGCACGTCTGTCCCTGAGGGTCCCTGCAGGCAGGGCCTGGGGGGGCCAGGGTAGCAGCACAGCAAGCAGGCCCCCACTTCCTGCCAGCGCCAGCCCTCCTCCCTTGGGGAAGGGCCCAGGTGTGACACCCAGCTCCCCAAGGCGACTGTCCTGGGTGATATGGCCCCTCCCTAGGCTTCCAGCTGTTCCCTCCCGGTGGGGCTGTGAGCCTGACGCAAGGAGGCAGGGCAGGCAAAGGGGTGTGCAGGACACACACATGCCGTGGCAGGCAAGGCCGCATGCGGGCAGCCGGCAGGCACAGGCTCATGGGGCGCAGGGCCAGCGGCGGGGCAGCTCATGCAGGTGGAGATGCTGCGCGGCCTCTCCCAGCTGCCCACTTACCTGTCTCTGAGTGCCGGCTGCAGCGTGGCCACCAGGCCACAGAAATAGGGTGCTGGGCAGAGGGAGCCCAAAGGGATTAAGGACACAGCCAGGTCGTGACCGCTCTGGAGGCACAGACCCCCCGGGGCCTCTGCCTTCATCTCTTCTGCAAGCAGAGGGGACTGGCCGGAAGTGTGCAGGGCATTTGCACAGCTCAGGTCCACCTGGGCAGGGTCTTGTGTGCCTACTTCTAAATTTTCTGTTCCCCACAAGAGCCTTCCATATGGGGAACAATCCTGTTATGCAGACAGAGAAACTGAGGCACATGCAGTCACAGAGATTTAAGTTTCTTGAAAAACAAAACAACAACAACAAAAACATAGGAAGTTAAAGGATAGGATCTGAGTTTCTCTTTCTAAGCCACTTACGAAGTATCCTAGAGAACAGGGAAGCTTTGCAGGAGGGGGATGAAGATGCCACTGTGACCAACGACTGCCACCAATAAAGCCTTTGCCACGGCACCTCCCGATACGCCCAGGACAGAACCACAGGGCCTCCCAAAGCCTCACCACCCTACTTGGATCAGGAGAAACCATCGATTGCGAGCTGAGGGCTTCTCCGTATGCCTGGCCTCCAGTCAGAACAGCGGCCAGAGTCTGTGAGGAGACTTTGGGAATCACAGAAGCACGCTTGTGCAGCAGCACGAAGGACTCTGATGGCCCGGATGGTGCACTTGAGGGTGGTTCATTTCATGGCGCATGCATTTCACCTCAATTTAAAATAAGGTCAGACCACGCCAACTAGAGAAAAACTGAAACATGGTCACAAGCTGGAGGTGACCACAGAGCTGTGACAAATGATGCCATGTGGGGCCCCAGAGTAGAAAAGGACGTTAGAGGGACTGCAGAAATGGAAGGTGTGCAAGAGGCCATGGAAAGAGATGGCGATTGACTGCTGTGGCCATTCAAACACTTCAGGCAGGATTCCTGCGGACTTGGAGATTTCCTGTTACCGCATCTTCTTTTTAAACATAGACCCGACTTGAGAGGGTACTCTGGCTAATGTACATTTCTAGTGTTTACAGACACTAGCTGTGTACGTGTAGTAACGTCACAGAAATGCGTCCTTACACTGTGACTTCTCACCTAGCACAGCTCTTTCACCAAGCTGTAAAAACAAAACCTTGTATCCACTCGGGAACAATACCCACAGTTATTCCCTCACTCTTTGGACAGTTTAGTCAAATGAGTTTACAGCTATTAGGAATCACGGCACAGTTGACTGGGGTTTTGTCTGTCTGTCTGTCTACCTGTCCTGGTGCCCTCCCCAACCCATTTGGGTACAGAAAAGCAGTGGAGGTGGCCACAGCTAATGATGCAGTTCTCACTAGGTTGCATAGAGCTGGTGCTACATAGTGGAAATCAACTACTGTATAATTCTTAAATGGAATTTTAATTTGAAAGCTTTGCTGATTTTAAGTGTATGCATTTTGTATTAAAATATTCATATAATAAAGATGGTGATTCGATCTTTTACATGTACAGTAGTACGACGCGCTGCCACAAATCCCCCTCAGAACATCTCCCTTCGCCTCCACACTTCTCCCGTAATCTCACTCCCTTTCTGCAGCAGCTCTGGGGTCCTCTTTCCTGAGTGTCTGTACAAAGGTGATCAAAACCACAGACTGCTGCTGCTGCTGCTGAGTGCTGCCCACCGGAAGGCCGGGTTGGGAAAACATGCCCGTGTCACATCCACAGGACTCACGCGTCTGGCACAGGGGGACTTCTGGTTCTTCCCCAAAGTTAAAATGACCATGAAAGGAAAATGCCTCAGAGCAGCTGAGGACCCCAAAGCAGCCAGGCAACACAGCTGGGCCAGCCGCTCCTGCCTTGGAGGGTACAGCGCCCAGGGTCTCTGCTTTGCTGAGAACCAGTGCTGCGCAGGTCACTGGCGGCTCTCTTGAAGGAGGTGTGGGCCAGTGTCTTGTTTGGCTGTGAACTCTGCCTTCGTGAAGAGGTCTTGCCATGTCCCCGTAGCTGGCTCCTGGTGAATTCTGTCCCTTTTCAGAGGTGACCGGGGTTGAATCTATCTTTTTTTTTTTAATAATAAAATTTTATTTTTTCCAAATGTACACCTGGTTCAGCCTATTCATCATGCGTCTTCACCAGCGGCAGGAGCATCTCCACCCTTGGTATTTCTGGTATAAATAACTTGAGCTCTGTGCTTTGAAACCAACTTGATAAGCCCTTTACTAAGGAGCTCCTGAAGGGCTGCTCTGGCCAGTGATCCACGGATCTTCAGTCTCTCAGAGACCACAGCAGGCGTTATGAGTTTATAGTTGGGAACTTCCTTACAGAGTTTGTCGTAAGTAGCTTAATCAAACAGAACCAAGTTGTTCAGCTTGTCCCGAACTTTGCCTTTGGATCACTTCTTCTTTATGGCCTTGCCCCCAGATTTGTTCACTGGGTCTTTGTCTTTCTTGGCCGACTTTCCGGCATCTTTCTTCTTCTTGTCGTCTTTGGGCGGCATCATGGAGCCCAGAGAGCAGCCGCCACCACTGCAGGCCCATCAAGATGTCGCGGATCCATCTTTTTTAATTTGTCGATACAGAGTCTCGCTATGCAGTTCAGACTCGCAGTGATCCTCTTGCCTCAGCCTCCCCAGCACAGGTATTATAGGTATGTACTATTACTCTCTTATTTGGGGGCCGGCATGGCGTGTGGTAACAGGGACCGAACTCAGGACCTTGCACTTGCCAGGCAGGTGCTTAGACCACCAAGCTATCTCCCTAGTCCTGGATCCATCTTTAAAAAGTCCAAGAGACAGCCCTTTTGGTGCTAGGCCCACAGATGGAGACCATAGGCCAGGACGTGAGCCTCTGGCGACTCCACTCACCAGCCCTGGCTGCCACTCCACTTGGGCCCCTTGATTTCATCTTATTGCCGTCCAGGCTGGATCTGCCACACAGGTGCCCTTGGTTGAGACAGCTCACCAAGGAGACAGTGAGTGACGAGCCCTGGGCTTTCTCCCCTTGTTGGGGAGGCCACAGTTATGGGGAAGGGGCTCAGTGGCAGCTGCGTAGTGGGGGATCTACTTGCCACCCTGGTGGCACAGCTCACGCTGTACCAAGCGAGCACCAGTGCCAGTGGGCAGCAGCACAATGTGCAGGCGGCCCTGCCAGCCCTCTCGTGCAGCACAGCCAGGAGGCCACAGCCCGCAGGAGGGTACTCTTCCATCAGGGCTCCTGGCTCCTCGGTGGGGCTGGGGCTCAAGAATGTGCCTTGCCATTGCAAGCCGCGTTCTGCAGCCCCGGAGCTGGCCCCTGGGATGGAGGACCCGTCCTGAGGGTGCTTCGAAGCTGTCTACACAGGCCATGGCTTCCACACCTGAGCAGGACAAAACAGGAAGAAAGCGTGCAGAGCAAATGCCACACACTTGACCTAGAACGGCCTCCAAACACCAAAGCTCTGCCACCTCGAATCAGCCCGACTCTGGGCTCACGTATCTGCAAGGAGAGGTCACCCTGCCTGGAAGCACGAGCGGTGACCTCTTTCCCTCACTGAACACAGTGGGGACCCTGGGGCACCATGCAGAGGTCGGGTACAGGTCTCCCTCTCTCAAGATTGTCTGCTCTCTGCCCCACGCCCCAGAGATGCAGGCCTTTCTTGGGAACTGAAGCAAGTCACAGTGAGGGACTGCAAACCATTTAATGATCCACACAAGGCGGGGGTGTGGTCCAACAACTGAGTGCCGAAGCGGAGAGGACCCCAGCTCACATCCCACCCATCTGCATGGTGACCGGGAGACAGACAGCAACGCCAGGCAGGTTTGGAAAAGTTTTATTGCATCGTTTCCATGTGGAAGCACTGACTGAATTGAAAAGAGGCAGCGTGTTCCACTTTGGGAAGGATCAGAGGGTGGGATTCCCCCTACCCAGGTTTGGACTGAACAAAACTCATCCCCGCCCCCACCCGAGCCAAAGCGAAAAGGGGAGGTTTGTGGCAATTGCTTAAAAAAACCAAATCAGTGTGTGGAACTCAGGGATCCTCAGTGGTCCTCGAGTTTTGGGGCCCTTTCCCCCAGCTCATGACCCCCTCAGAGGAACCTAAGCCAGGAGTGCCCCCCCTGCAAGGCTGGCTGCTCCCTGTGGCAGCGCTGCAGAGCCCAGCCAGCAGATGCCACCCGTCACCCTCAGGGACATGCCCAGTCCGGCCAGGGCAGGGGTTGCCTGCCCCACGCGAGACGCGGGTCTGTGGTGCTTTCCTCCAAAGCAGCACTGCTGCCTGGCCGTCTCCCGGGAGGGAACACTGGGCGGGTGGGGGGGGGACGGACGCGACGAAGGGACATGGAGCTGGCGTGAAACTGCCTGTCTTCCTGATTGTATAAGGCATTTTGAACTAGAAAACTGTCCTTCCTGTGCTTCCAGAGTCCGAACCCAAGCACGGTCCCTCACCACCGCCTCTCCCAGCCCACCCATCAGCATGGGGGGCGGGAGCGGCGGCAAGCTTGCGGAACACACGTGTCCACGGGGACAGGCGCCGTCCCGGCCCGCCACCGGGCCCTCCGGGGCCAGCGGTATCTTCCGTGAGGTGACTCCCAGGCCCTGGCACAGAGGACGTCTCGTTCAGTTAATACAAGTGGTACCGCTCGGGGCTGCACCGCCTCGTTAGTCACGCCAGACAGACAGCAGAGAGGAAGCCAGACGCCAGAGGTGATTGTAAAAGAAAAAGAGCAGCTTCGGTCATCAGAAAATCAAAGAATGATTTTTTAAAAAAATAAAACATGAGGAGTTTTTTTTTTCTCTGCAATGCTCAGCCATTTTACTTGAGACATAAAAAAGTTCTCAGGAGTCGTTTTGCTTTTCGGTCTACACATTCATGAGAACGGGTCGGGCGAAGTGTCGAGGCGCGTGTCCGGGCAGCGGGGCCAGGAGGGCCTCAGACCACGTACTGGTACGGGTCGGCCTTGCCTTGGTCTGGCGTGGCAAAGGGGCTGGCCCAGCCCAGAGAGAAGGGGTGGCCGAAAACGGCTTTCATGTTCATCCATTTTGTTTTTTTAGCCCATCTTCTCTCTTCCTTTTTCAACTGTTCTATGCCCTGAAAACGAGAACAATCGCACTTTCAGTCACACAGTCTGTTGCTGGGCTCTGGGGAGGGGTGGCCACTGCCTGGGGTGACCGCAGGGACTGCTTCATTTTGAGGCCATGAAGCTACCTACACGCAGTTTTCTTCCTGTTTTTCATAGGAAGTGTCATTTTTTAAAAAATCCCTTTTTGGAGGAAACATATTTACAAATCCCTCCAAGAGGGGAGGGAAAATGAGCCAATCAGTGGTCCCTAAGCCATTCCTGCCCTCACGGGCAGTGGCTGTGCAAAGCCTCGGTGTAGGCAGGAGCTCACCATCACCACAACCAATGAGGTTTCACTCCAGGGGTAGATCGGGGGAGTCCAAGCTACTGTGACAAAATAAATAAAAAAAAAAAAAAAAAAAAAAGACAAAGAAAAGAACAAAAAGCAAGAAATCGAAGGCTGTCTGGCGCTGAGCCGCAAGTGTTACTGGCCCATGGCCAAGAAGCAGAGTCAAGAAGGCACCAGGGAGTCGGCGGCGGCAAGGGTTAGTACAGGTGAGAGGCGCGGCTGGCCTAGTGCAGCGGTCGCTTCACACAGCCAGTGGAGGGCAGGGCCTGCCTAGGCCCTTGAGCAAGGGCAGTGGCCCATCGGGCGCCACTGCCATGGTTGCAGGTGGGGGGCGGGAGGCTGGGAGGGCAATGTCATGGGGCACGCAGCTCCCACTCGCCTTTCCTTTCCAGGACTCCTGCCAGGCAAAGCACCCAAGGCAGCAGGGCCTGCGTGCTGCCAAGTCCCCAGAGGGTTACTCACTGCCTGCCGGCTGACCTTTCTACAGACCCTCTTGGCCACCACACTGCTTCTCACAGAAGGGCACGAGCTGGAACCCCTGACCATAAGCTGCAGGCACCAGCCCTGTGCTCGCACAGCACGACCCCTGCTTGTGCCATGGGTGTGTGTGTGTGTGTGTGTGTGTGTGTGTGTGTGTGTGTGTGGTGGCTGTCATCCTGGGAGCCTCTGCACGACCCTGGCGCCGGACACTGCCTGAGCAGCCACAGGAGTTGTGAGGTTGGGCCACATGCCTGAGACAGGGCCATGAGCTCTGTCCCCTGGAAACAAGCTCCCCTTCATCCCAGAGCCCCATACAAAAGGACAAAAAACCTACATTCCAGCCCAAGGCTCCTGGCCTCAACAGGGAGGGCGGGAGGTAGCAGTGGAGCAGGTTCTGGTCTGGGCCAGAATGGAGGGGCCCCACTGACACAGAGCTCCCTGCCTTGGAGGCTCTGCTCTGGGCAGCTGGCCTTGCCCGTCCCAGCCAGGTCAGGACCTTTTTCCCAGTGGGGCATCCAGATGGAAGGGCATCCCCATGGATGTGTGCGCAGAGGGTCGATGGGTAGGGAGGAGGTTGCCCCGGTCTGCAACGGCAGAGCGTGGGCACTGCCACCTACCGTCTCGTCCGTGCAGATAGAGTGCACCTGTGTCCCGAACATCACTGATGTGAAGATGAGGAAGAGCAGTGCCTCGAAGCACAGCAGGATGAGGAGGATCACCGTGGTAGGTGGGGAGAAGGAGCTGCACTCTGCAAGAGAGGGACAGCTTGGAGCTGCTCTGTGCCCGGAAGGCCCCAGGGCTCTGACCTGGGCAGAGGCTTCCTGTGAAGCCTGTGCAGAGGTGCAGCTAGCAGCTACTGCATGGCTGCCAGATGCTGCACAGCAAGGGGCAGGCATGGCCCTCTTTGCATCACTGACCCCAGGGCCAAGGCTGGACAGTTGGTGGAAGAGCACAGGATGCTGCAGGTGCTTTCCACAGCGCCCCCACTGGGGTCAGTCCCATCAAGCCGGTGCTCTGGCACTGCCAGCAGCTGTGGAGCCAGAAGCAGTTTGCCCCTGTGCAGGGTTTTGGGTCTGAATGAAGCCCATGAGAAGCCAGGGTGGACAGGAAACAGCACCTAGGGCAGCTAAGGCACCTTCCACCCACCCTGGGGCCCCCAGGAAGTCACTGGTGGGAAGCTCTGGCAGCTCCAGGGTGGGGTGAGAGACTTCTTTCCCAGATGCCCCAGATCTCTCAGGCCTGGATGGGGAGTTCTGGGTGCAATGTCCTGTGACCCGAGCACCTGCTGACCCTGCCTGCCCACCCCCAGGGAATGGCCCCTCTTTTCCTCCTGCTCAGAATCTGCCCATCTTGCTGCCATCCAGCTCTGGGGGCCACAGACTTCATCCTGCTCACAGCTCCCCGAGTAGCCTGGGCCCTGCGGCCAGCAGAACCTGGCAAGAGACCACTTGAGATCTGGTTCTCCCTGTTCATCAGGGTCTGCCACCTGGCTGGAGGGTGGGCCCTGCCATGCCTGCCCACTGCGGGCCAATCCCTGGCAGTGGGAGCTGGGCTTGGAAAGGCAGCATACTGATGTCAGGGGCAGGCTCCACCTCCTGCCGAGGGCCCTGCCCTTGGGACAGCCCCTTATGGTTTATACAAGCTCCCAAGGCCCAACAGCACGGCTAGGGCTAAGCAGTGGTGACCGGGCTGTCACCCATGGAGACTGTGAGGAAGTGTCCTCCAGCCACCCCCACCCCCCGGGGGTCCTGACCAAAGGTGACCAGTATGTGGCTGAACACAGCTGAACACCTTGCTCTGGCCAAGGTGACACAGAGGCTCTCTTCTTAGCTGGGGGTCCTGAGGGCTGGCCAGGTGGGGTGCACTCCCCATCCCGAAGGCTTGCTGTGAGGCACTGCACTAGCCCCTGCCAGCGCTTTTTCCACACTGCTCAGTGCTGGCAGGTGCCAAGAGTGGTGTCTGCTGATCTGCTTCTCTAGGCCCTTGGCCTCCAGGGGGGAGCATATGCGAGGCCACCAGGTGGCCAGAGCTCCCCGGAGACCCTCAGTCCCCACCTGCCCTACATGGGCCTGGGCCAGGAAGCCCGAGGCCAGAGGCAAAGGAAGAGTGAAGCCTCTGGTGTGGGATGGGAGCCCAGTGGGGAAGCTTACACCCCTTTGAGCCATCAGCCTCAGTTTTTGAACTCTATTACTAGCGTATGTTGTGATACATAATAATTACATATTATATGTAAGTTTTAGAGAACTGGTACATACACAGGCTGCACCTTTTGTGCATGTGTGTGTGACAGTAGGGAATGAACGCAGGGCCTCAGCATTGAGCTACACGCCTAGCCCTCTTTTGCTTTTTGAGACAGGGTCATCTGTATTCACTAAGCTGTCCAGGTTGGGCTTGAACTTGCAGCCCTTCTGCTTCAGCCTTCCAGAGTGCTGGGCCTATAGGTGTGCACCACCATGCCTGGCTCCATGTGGCACCTCAGCCACCGCCTCAGAGCTCTGGGTGGCTTCGAGCCCGCCCCTCCTCGGGTCTGCTGTTCCCTTCAGGCTCTGTGCGGCTCTCTGGCTGGACTTCCTTCCTCGGCACCTGCACACATGGGTGGGCCCCTTCCAAAGGGTCTGTGATCTCCACGCAAATGGGTGAGTATCTGTATGAGCAGGCTGAAACCACCACCATGAAAAAAATGAACACAAAACCTCCATGTGATAAGCAGAGAGCTCAAATTGTACGCCTGCGAGGACCGGAGGAAGAATGCTTGCCTAGCGTGTGCCGTCGGACAAAGACAGCACTTCGTCCCAGAAGAGGGGGGCTCTCCCGAGCAGCAGCTCCTTGCCCAGCTGCAGGCCTGTGCGCTGCTCCCTGCATTACCTGTTATAGGACTGACCGTAAGCGGCTGCTCTTTTGCATGGAGGGAGACCAGGGCCTCTGTCAGTCCTGCCTTGGCACCAAGAGGTGACACCCCCCCCCCCGGTTACGCCCCTGCTACTCACTCGTCCAGTCTTCTTCAAAGCAGTGCAGGAAGTGGAATCCCACCATGATGAGGGCATGCAAGGATATGAGCGCTATGTACATCTGAAACGGCAAGGGGAAGACCCTGGGCTGAGGTACTTGGCACCTGGTGACTCGCGCGGCCCTTCCTCCCACCATGGTCTGAGGGGCAGGTGGCACTGGGTGTGACCTTCCTGCCTGAGCTCCCCTGCCTTTGGCAGGTCCCCAGCGCTCTGTGCTCAAGTGATGGGCCTTTGTTGAGCTGCAGCTTCTAAAGGGGCAGTGTTGAGGGGATGGCACCAGGGCCTTCTGGCAGGGCGGGCAGGTAGACACTCACTGTAAACAGCACGAAGAACTTCTGGTTGTTCTCGCCGACGCAGTTGTTGACCCATGGACAGTGGTGGTCCATCTTGCGGATGCACCGCTTGCAAACACTGAAAGAGCCCAGTCAGCCCTTTAGGGGTGTCCCATGGCATGTGGCGGGGGAGGGGAGTGAGGTCCCAGCTCCAGCTCTTGGCTAGGAGGCAGCTTGAGGCTCTAGTGCGCTTTGCTGTTAGCAGTGCTGAGCCCATGACCACCCGTGTGGCACAGCATGCCTCCTCCTGTGTGCTGGGCTGCAGCTCCCTGACCCCACAGCCCCTCTGCCCCCTCCCACCCCACCAGCCAGCCTCTGAGCCCCTGCTCTTCTGCTGGTGTCCTCTCCCAGTAGGGCTTTTAAGCCTGTGCTTAGGAACAGTGTGGGCTCTGACAGAGGTGCAGCGTGGGCACAGAGTTTAAAGGACCCCCACAGTGGCAGTCCCCACCCGTGCCCACCCAGGGGTACTGGGAAGCAGGCAACATGAGGGTAGGCTCCAGGGTTATGTGTGGGGCAGGGCACTGCTTCTGATGGCCCCAAGAGTGTGTGCAGCCTGAGAGGTCAGTGCTGGCCCAAAAGTTGGTCCTCAACTTAGAGGACTGGTGTGGGGCTCTCTGCAGGGAGGAACTGCTTCCCTGCATGGCCTGGGGCGTGGGAAGGACCTCCAACACGGTCCTGCTATGTTACACAGGGAGTGCAAGGACCAGCGTGGCCCTCAGACAAGGCCAAGGGCATTCCCTGTTCACTGAGTAGGCCTGCCGGCCCAGGCCAAACACACAGTGCCCCCTCCGCTCTCTGGTCGGGGGACAGGAGCCCTCGTCTACCCTTCAGCTTGGCAGAGCTGCCTGTCCCCAGAGGGACCCTCAGCCACGGGCCAAGCTCCTGGAGCACTAGACAGGGTGTGCATTGACAGTCACCTAAGCGCCAATGCTTTAGAGAAAGGACCTCTGTGGTCTCCAGGCCACTTCTCCTCTCCTCCTCCTCCCATTTTCCAGGATTGTGCCAGGGAAGGCCCACCCAGCTCACAGGCTCCTCCCGAGTGCCCATGTGTAGTCCCTGGGGCTCCAGGCCCTTTCTTGATGTGCAGCCCCAGGGAGCTGACTGGGCCTCTCCCGCCCATCGCAGGGCCTTGTAGCAGAGATGCAGCTGCCACCCATGGGGCTGTGTCTCTCAGGCTGAGGTATGAAGGACAAAGGCAGCCATGCCTGCGGGAGGCCCTGGGACCGGGTGCTGAGCCCAGGGCCATGCGCAAGAGCTCAAGAAAGCAGCCTAGAAATAAGAGAACACAAAGGACCAGGGGCCACGGCTAGACGCGCAGGTTTTCTCTTCACGCACACCGGCAACGACAGGACCACAGGTAGGATCAGCAGAGTATGACCTGCTGCCCTCAAGGAAGTGGCCTTGGGAAAGCTGAGCAGTGCAGCGCGAGGAGCAGGGACCAGAGGGCAGATTCCACGAGGGGTCGGGGCAGGAGACACAGGTCCTCTACTGGACACCAAAGAACGAACACGAAATGCCCACAGCCAGTGCTGCATGAAAATCCTGGTGACCATCACCCTGGCGCAGAAGCAGAGGGGCCTGCCTCAGCCTGGCCAGGAGAAGGCCATCCCTCCCCAAGAACCACCATGCAAGAGTCCTTGGGGTTGGCCGTGGGCATGGACTCCGCCAGGTGGATGCAGCAGCAGCAGCAGTAGCTGCTGCAGGGATGAGGAGCCTGCAGGGTCTGAGGCCTTGTGAGCACACTCAGGCCTGGCACAGATGGCCACTTCCATGGCTGGCACCAGCCTCAGGGCTTGGGCACAGCAAGCAGACCCAGGCCTTCTTGGGTGCAGGGCTGAGGCCCCCATGGCCAGGCCACCAAGCATATCACGAAGTACTGTTGCTGGCACTGTGCCTGAGCAGCAGCAGGCTGCCTGCCACACCCCGGGGCTCCTTGGCACCACACAGCGCCCACCTGCCCATGTCACCATGATGACAGCATTCAGTGCCCAGGAGGCGGGAAAGCAGGGGTGGCATGGGGCAACAGAGGGCACAGGCAGGAGGGCAAGGGGCCACTGTACCCCACACTCCCCTCTGCAGAGCCCAGCCTGGCAACCCCGCAGGTACACTGTCTCTCTCACCAAGGGACTTCACCTGGCATGTCTGGCAACGTGCAGGTATTTATGTCAAAACCTCACAAGCAGCCTGGCTCACAGTGGGCAAAGCTGGGCTCAGAGCAGAGCATGTGGAGCCCACTTCCACCACAAAGCAGCCCAGGCAGGTGGGGTTTCCATGGCTGCCCCTGAGCCCCAGAGTGGCAGGGAAAGGAAAGGGTGGCTGATGTCCCCACATTGGGCACCCAAGATACAAGCCCCATAGGGACAGCAATCCCACTGGCCTCTGCTCACACTCCTGGGCTTGCCCTTGAGCAGGCAGCCAGGAAGAAGAGAGCAGCAGGGATGGGGGCCAGGCAGGCACCCAGGACGGAGGTGCCAGAGATGAGCCTGCCTTGTGCACAGCGGCCATGGCGGCCAGGCAGGTAAGCCACCTCTCACTCAGGTCTTTCATGCCCCCCAAATGCTGACAGGATGACCCTGAGAGCAGGCTCCCCCCTCCTCACGGGCAGAAGGGAGACCAGGGATGCTCCCGTGTCTCATGACGAGCATTTCAAGTTCTTCCCTAACAGTGCCATGCGACGTTTGCGGAAGACACCTGAGAGATGAGAAGACAGAACGAGTAGCAGGGCTAAGCTGTGGCTGGCTGGCCCTCTGCAAGCTGCTGCGGAGGTCTTCTCTCCAGCACAAGTCCTCACTCTAGGCACAGATGGCAAAGAAATGACCTCGTTTTTGATTTTTCTTGAGACAGGGTCTTGCTATGTAGTTCAGCAGAGCTAGAACTCACTATGCAGCCCAGGCAGGCTTCAAACTTATGGAGATCCTCCTGCCTCTGCCTCCCAAGTGCTTGCAAAATGATCTCTAAGGTACCCTCTCTTGGCAGCCCTTGTCAGGAGGATATGAGGTGGAAGGAAACCCAGTGTGCACGCTGCGCCCAGCAGTGAGCTGCGAAGCCCACGGTGCGAGCGAGCGAGCGTGCATGGCGGGGCGGCCCGTGTACCTGCAGTGGTGAGCGCGGTCAGGCTTGATGCTGCAGCACTTGGGACACTTGTACACCACCTGCCCGGGCTTCAGCTGCAGGCTCTCGATGAACTCCTTGGTAGCATTTCCCTTGGGCACTGCCCCCTGAGGAGAGGGCAGGGTCAGGGCGGGCGGCGCTGCCAGCCCAGCGAGGTCGCTCTGGGGCTGCCAGCACACCTGCGCACGCACTGTTCGTAGCGACACAGACATGGAGGACACCCTTCCTACAGCTGCCGACGCTGCTATAGCTGTTGTGTCTTCCTTACTCTAAGGCCATTGTCAGGAACCCGCTCTTCCCTGTCAAGCCTTGAGGCCATGTGTTGCCCTGGTTCTGGGTCCATGTTTAATATCCTGGTGGGGTGTGGTCTGCCCCACTGTGCGCAGCTTAGATCACAGTTCACTTTCCCCTGCCCAACTGTCAGCTCAGAACGGTTTGATGAGCCGTACGCACTGGAATCAGGTTGTGCTGGGTTTTACTTTTCGGTAGTAAGATCACTCTATGTCACGCGGTCAGCATCTGTGTTAGTGCACAGGAAACCCACGGGTGTCTGTGCCACCGCCCAGCTGGGCTGCGCTCACCTTCTGGCTGGCCACTCTCTGGGGGAGCAGGCTGCCCAGGTGCGGAGGTCCTGGCAGCTAGGCTGTCCTGATCCTACTTGGTGCTGAGCCTACAACCCGCTGCTGGCTGGGACCCGAGAGTCGACCTTAGGACCCTCTTGGGGGACTGGCAAGTCAGGCTGCAGAGCTTGCAGGTGCAAAAAGCTCAAACAGGAGGCAGCAGCTGTCTACACAGGGGAGTCAGAGAGGTTTAAGTTGAGAAATCTGAAGTTTAAAACCAGTGTAGAGGAATCTGTCTGCAATCCTGGCTGCTCAGAAGGCTGAGGCAGGAGGACTGCCAGGTGTGAGGTCAGACTGGGTAGCTCAGTGAGAGCCTGTCTCAAACACAAAACAGATAGGGCTGTGCTGCAGCTCAGTGGCACTGTTGCCTAGCAACTGTGAGGCCTGGGTTCCCACCCTACACAGCCAGTGAGAAGAAGCAGCTACTGCAGGTTCATCCTACCACATGGGAAAGTCCTCTAAACGGAGGCCAAGGGGACAGGAGGCACTGGGAAGAGCAGAGCAGTGTGCTGCCACAGCCTGCAGGGTCACAGCAGGGTCAGAGCCAGGCCTCCCGATGACTGGGCTTTCTTCACAGGGAGGCTGAGTCCCTTTGTGACAGCAGGGCTTGCTGCCTGTGCTATGTGGACCAGGTCAGAGCAGGGATGGATAGAACTCGACACTCAGGGTCACTGTGACAGCCCAGGACACTGGCAAATGAGCCACAGGGACACAAAGAGGAGGGACACGGCATAGTTGCAGGGGATGGGAGAAGACGGGCACTGGCTGGCCGTGTGGCCCCTTGAGCCCTCAGGAGCCCTGGAGGGCACCCAGTGAGCATGTGACCTGGTGCTGAGGCCTGCAGTACCAAGGGATGCCCAGGACAGTGTCACAGGGTGGCATGCACAAGGGGAACCCGTGGCTACACTTCTGGAATGTTCTATCAAGAACCTGCGCTAGTGGCTTTTGCAATAAGGGAACTCATAAAAGATGCAGGCAAAAAAAAAAAAAAAAAAAAAAAAAAAAAAAAAAAAAAAAAAAAAAAAAAAAA